GCCTACGGCTCGACGACCCCCGTCGGACAGGCCGACCCGACGCAGGACAACCCGCGCTGCCTCTCGCGCGACATGAGCTCCGACACGGGCAAGCGCTTCTCCAGCTTCCGCAACACGACCGAGCTGATCATCAACTCGAACAACGTCGAGATCTTCCAAGCGCTCATGTCGGGCGACCCGCGCTACGTGACCGGCGAGGTCGGCATCCACGGCGGCGGCCACGACATGATCGGCGGCGAGATGTCGGATCCCTTCAGCTCCCCCAACGACCCCCTCTTTTATCTTCATCACGCCCAGATCGACCGCGTCTACTGGATCTGGCAGATGCAGGACTTCAAGAACCGCCAGGGCGTCGCCGGCACCCAGACCCTCTTGGATCTGCCGCCCAGCCCGAACACGACTGTTAATGACCTGCTTGACGTTTCGCCTCTTGGTGACCCCGTCAAGATCAAGGATATGATGAATACAGTCGGTGGCCCGTTGTGTTATGTGTACATATAATCCTACAATTGGTGCGGCAATTTTCGATAGTTTGGTTATGACTGTTTACTTTTTTTTAACTCTCTTTATACCAACCAACCCTCTTTTCGTTTCCCTTTGTAGTTGGCAATAGTTGGCATGCTTGTGAGCCAGCATCCGGGTTGAAGGAGTTACAATAAGACTTCCAAGTTTGTTTAATAAATAGAGTAATAATCCATCACGAGTCTCTCTTGCTTCAAAAGTCGATACATGATTCACTTGCACATCACCACCTGATCCTAATTATTACAACCCAGCATCATCCTTGCGTAAAACAACCACCATCCGCGCCTCGATACTATCTCTCAAGACCTTCTTCCCATCCTCATTGGCGTCAGCATACTGCTGCTCTCGCTCCAATCTAACAGCACAATGCGGCACATCTTGTTTGCCCCGGGTAAGTCAGCTCAAGTGTTCATTTTGACCAAGAAAGGTGTGTGTGTGTGTGTGTGTGCAAGTTTCGTCCAAAACAAACAAGAAGACGTACAGGGCACCGCACTCTGCGGATCCGAGTCCCAGCTCTTGAACAAGCTGATCTCGTCGGGCGTCTGGTCGCTGCACCAGAACCATTCCTGTCGCTGGAGGGGGTTATGCTTGAGGTAGGTCGCGCCGCTGACTCTGGTCGGCGACGCAATGTCCACCTCCAGCACGTCATCTGGAATCGATATAGAGGCTGGGTCGCAGAGCGCGAGGGGCGCGTTTTGCACCGGGCGATAGAGCGGTTTCCACGCACTTTCACGTTGCATCGTGTCAGTTAGTCAGTCCCTGTCTGCCGGACATAGTCAGCTTACTTGACGAGCCAAATCTGGTGTTCATCTGTTAGGTATCTCGTCGCTTCGTCTTGAGTCAAAGACTCTCGGATCACTGTTTCTCCGTACCCGCGGGTGAAGTCGGCGTGGGCCGGGAAGGCGGGGACATCTGGCTTGACAGCAGTGGGAGGCTCGAAGAAGATCTTGTTTGGCGTTTCGAGTGAGGATGGGGTGCATTGTCGAAACTATACTTTGTTGTAAAAGACTCACGCAAAAGTGGTTAACCAATGTTATTTCTTTAAAAGACTGTTTCAAGGAGAAAATGGGGGGACGCACTACGAAGTTGACGCAGTAGACTGCCTCAGCCGAGAGTAGGTCCTTGATGTCTAACGCGAGAGTGGACAGGTAGCTCTCCAGCACGGAAGAATCACCACCCAGCACGGGATCTTGCTGCCCGGGAGCACGGCGCAAAATCTGGAAACCATCCCGCCGTAGGGAGAGTTTCTCCGGGTGATCGATAATAGGACGCAAATCAGCAAAGTCGATGCCCTCATGAGACTCAAGTTGAATGTTGGTCCGCTTGTGCTCCTGGGAGGGCTCAAGTGCACCTGCCCATCGGTAGGGGCGCTCCTGTTTGTACTTGGGCAGGTCTTTGATGAAGGACAAGGTGCCTCTCTCGGTGGGGAGATCCATGCTTGACAAGCCGCCCCGCGACTGCTGTTGGTCTGTTCTGTGCGGCATCGTGGGCTGTCTGGATGACTTCCGACTTTGGGGATGTTAGGACTCTGCGAGATCGTCTGCGTGTCGTGGACGTGCTGCAAAGTTATCGAGCATAGATGGACATGGCGATAAGAGAGATCTTCGTGGATCCATATCCCTCACGTAACGACGGTTGTAATCACGATGCCGCCTCGGAAGTCTAGAACCCTTTCCTTACATCAACCCCGTCCGGTCGGGCGCTTCGGAAACATCGAACTGAGTCGAACAGGTGATGACGCGTCGCGATAGTTGTTTCTCAGCTGGATTCTAGCAGAACGCTATTCCAAACTGGAAAACATTCTGCAGATGCTCGTCGACAAAGACATGCCGCATGACCAGAGATCACGACTTCCGAGGCGTCGAAGGTCGCAACGTACCAGGAGCGCAGAGATCTATTGACGCACCCGGAAGTTCTAGACTCTAGACCTCGCGGCCGCATAAACTCTCGGCGCGGGGTGAGGAGATGGTGCGATATCCGACAGGCCAATGAGGTTGATGGGTGTTATTGTCAGTCGTCAGTTTGCAGCACATTAGCGCGCTGCATCTATCCAATTCCGCGCATAGACGGTCTACATAGATTTCAGCTGAGGAGTCGGCGGTAGACTTGGCCTAATTCGTGCATCGTGCCTAAGCAGGTCGGCAATAGCTTCATCTGTGGTCGGAGTCTAGACAATCTCATTATGCTGCGGGAGGAATGGGTATCACGAAGCCCGGGTCACTTGGCGTCAATAAGCAAGAGACCGGTGCAAGGTCTTTGAGAGAGTCAGGAGTAGAAGTGAGGACAAAAGAAAAGGATAAGAAGGCTCAAGTTTCCGGTCTGAGGAGACAAGCTCCATCTTCACAAGTCCCATCAGAACATCAGACTCCCAAATACACCACACGCAACAAACCAACTCCATTGTATGTTCACCACCTCAAGAACCACAGTACTGTACGAACACTAACAAACCTTTCAGCAGTCGCAATGCCTTCCCAAGACAACCAGACCCAGCCGTGGCGCGAGCTGTTGAAGGACCAGGTCCCGGCCGTCGCCGATGAGACCAACATGAACCAGGCTGCCGATGGCCTTCTCCGCTTCTCCGTCGACAAGACCGGCGTCTGCGATGGCCGCGCCAACGGCGCCTCCGCACCTCCGCCGCCGCCTCCACCGCCGGGCTCGGCCTAAATCCCAATCGCTATCTGGATTGCCAGAGCCGACCAACTACATTCACTCTTTTTGAATCCAACGACAGGAACTCGAAGTTTACGATGATCAGTGTGGGAATGTCCGGGGGAGGGAAAGGATATATGGACAGATAGTGAGGTTCTGTACAGACTGGCTTGATCTTAGCTTTCACTACCAAGTACTTGCGAGGCCGTAGTTTGGACAGCAAAATACGGTTCTATCTGCGTACATAATCTCATGTCCATTCTAATAAGGCGTATATCTTTGCCGTGATCTGTCGACCTAGCACGCCTTGATTTTAAGAGCTTTTCATATTAGGTAGCGGTGAATTACCTTTCCTGGCTTAGCTTATTAGCGGTGAATCCACGACTCTGAGAGGCCGTATCGGAATCCTTCCTCGGACTTACGGCAGCCTAGCATAAACCTGGAACTCAGCTTCAGCGGCCCAGATCACCGCATCCTTCTTCCCTCTCAAAAAATACGCGTCAAACGGACAATATGCTACCTAATTTGGTACCAAAACCGCTTGAAACTACCGTCCAAATCACAAAATGCCACCAGTAAACAAATCACCACTTCTCAGCTCCGTGCTCGTAACCGGCGGCTGCGGCTTCCTCGGCTACGCGCTCGTGCGACAGCTCCTAGCCGACCCCGAATGCGGCGCCATCCACGTCGTCGACCGCGCCATCAAAAACAATCGTCACGACGGCCGGGCAACCTATGTCGAAGGCAGCATCACCGACAGAACATTCATGACCAAACTCCTGAACGACACCAAACCGACCGTCATCTTCCACCTGGCATCACCCAACCCAACCCACCCCACCGGACCAGCCTCGGACATGTACGACACCAACGTCAAAGGAACCCAGTTCCTGCTCGAAGTTGCATCTCTCACAAACACAGTAAAGGCCTTTGTATTCTGCTCCAGCGTCGACGTCTACGATCCAGCGATTCCGCACACTAGGGCGGATGAATCGCATCCGCTCTGCAGACCTACCTTCGGCGAGCCGTACGCCCGCACCAAGGCGATGGCCGATCAGCTCGTCCTTGCCGCTTCTTCTCGGAAACCTGGTTTAAGGACAGTCAGTCTGCGGCTTTCGCACATGTACGGCGACCGGTGCAGGCAGCAGATGCCGACTTTACTGTCCATGATTGATGTTGATGGGACAAAATGGCTGCCGCAACCGCTCATCCAGTTGGGCGCTGGCAAAAACCTGTGTGAGGTCGTGTCAGTCGATAACGCCGCTGCTGCGCACGTCTTGGCTGCAAAGGCTCTCGTCGACCCAAGTCGTGCAAACGGAAAGGTGGATGGCGAGGCGTTCAACGTGTCTGATGGGCAAGCCGTGCCGTTCTGGTATCATGTCAGACAGTTCTGGGGCGCTGCGCGTGGGCGGCCAGTCAGAAATGAGGAGTTGGTTGTGATTCCCGAATGGGTGACACGGCTCGTCTTTGGGTTGGTCGCGTGGATCTATTGGATTTTTACGCTGGGGAGGCTGGAGCCGCCGCTCGCTGTGAGCGATGTGTCGCTGAGTTACTCGCTTGAGGAGCACACGTATAGTATAGATAAGTTAAGGCATCGGCTGGGGTTTCGGCCGGTGCAGGACCATGATGAGGTTATTAGACGGGCGGTGGAGGAGGAGTTGAAGCGGCGACTGGCGGTTTGACTTTGCGGTCACAGGGGATGATGGCCAAGTGGCAGTGATAGTTGTTATGGAGGGGAACAAAGGGAAAGGAAAAATACAAAGAAGAACAAAGTAGAGATTAGATCAAAATCAGATCTAAAAATGATCAAAAAAGAATTAAATCGATCGAGCTGGGACTCGAACCCAGAATCTTTACCAACTGAGGAAACGTCTATGTTAACCGGAAAGTAACGCGTTGCCATTACGCCACCCGACCTTTGGATGAAATCAAAGTCATTTTTATCTCTAGAAATGCTCCGGTGCAGAGCGGGGAGGAGCGTGAAAAGGTTCGGAAGCGGTGGAGTTGTCCGAGTCATGACAAGCTCGGTCAACCAAGCTGGGTGCCCACTCACATATGATCCGGTGAAAATGTTAGCACCACAAAACAACAGGCAACTAGTCACTCTGGCGGAGTGGTTAACGCGCTGCCCTGCTAATCACAAAGTTAGCTTGTTAGGCAGTTCCCTCGGGAGCATAGGTTCGAATCCTATGGGTGACGAAGAACTCGGAAACGAGCATATTCTTTTTGTTTTCTTCTTCATTTTTTATCTCTTGAGTCTGCCGATCATTTACCACTCACTGTATTATTAGCCTTGTGACGAATCCTTTTGTCAGGGCGAACGATCAAAGTCTTCAGCTTATATTCGTCGGCTTCTTCCGAACAAGAGAAACCCGTGTTTGAGAAAATCCGGGCCTGACATCAGATGAGCAGAATGAGAAGTGTGTAATTTCAGAAATCCACTCAGAAGCTGGATCACACAAGCAACCGGCTCAGGAGGTGACGCAATCTCTCTCACATCGGATCAAAGGTCTGCCTCACATAGCCGGCGGTGACGATAGCCCATCTCGGTGACGCATCCTTCATCTCCGGTGTCCACATGCAGTGATTCTGTCCCTTGAGCACACCATGCAACGCTCTCAAAAGTCATTAAGCGTGTATAACCAGCCGTAGATTTACGCTGCAAAAGTTGGTCACGACCGAGAGCATGCTTCTAGTCATCTGCCTATCTCAGGCAGTACCTGTCCATTGTGAAGAACATCCTACTTCTGTTAGAGTAGACCGAGTGCTTCAAGCCAACGAAATTTGATGTCAAGGTTTCACGTGAACCATTGTGATCTGATGTTGTGACCATGTTCCTCTATGGCAATGAGAGGGTGAGGAACGAGGCCAAGATTTCATCCCAACTCTTCACCGTTTCCAATCTAACATTTAAAATTGCCAAGTCCCAACCCTCTCCTCTCCCCTTTGATACGAACACCAAGGAATCAAGGACCGCTGGTATCTTCCGCGAACACGACACCAAACACGCCTTACTTTGCCTATACACTTTACCATAAACATGAGGTTCCCAACATCTCTCGCCTTCTTATTCGGGGTGCTCGCCAGCGTAGCTTGGACAGTCCCGACAAACCATCCCGTCAACAATTTTCCCTTGGAGGGGTCCGTCACCACGCCATCCAAGGCCCACAATGTCCCCCGGGCCATGGCCAACCCCAAGACCTTCAAGTTCGTGACCGTCGAGGTTGGTGAGGGCGGTGTCCTCAGCGTCCCGCCCTCACCTCCTGCCATCTTCAACGACAAACGCGACATCATCGGGTCAGACGACCGCGTGCCGTGGAACCTCAGCACTTATCCGTACAGCACGATGGGCATAGTTAGCGCCCCAGGCTTCTACTGCAGCGGCTCGCTGGTCGGCCCGCGGCTCGTGGCGACGGCACGGCACTGCGTTCCCAATGACGCTCTTGTCAACGACACTTATGCGACCGGGAAGAACGCCGTCTTCCAGCCTAACCGACATGACTATGACGACCAGAACAAGACGAATACCAAACACCTCCTCCCGTCGTCCATGGCTATTCTGCCCATCGCCTGGAACCTGACAGCTAGTGCCGAGATTAATGGTCCCTGCAGCCAGAAGCACGACTGGGCCATCTTGGTCCTCCAAGATGCGCTCGGTGAAGAGTTGGGCTACTTGGGTGCCAAGGTCATTGATTGCGAGAAGCAGAAGGACAAGCCCGTGTTTGTATGTCAACCCCATCATCTCTTCTCAACGATACCTTACTGACAAGCACATCAAGGTTCACATGGGCTATCCCGGCGACAAAGCCCATGGCAAGCAACTCTACCACCAGGTGGGCGTAAAGGTGACCGAGTGCGATGAATGTGCTGCCGCAAATGGCCCGGGACTGATGAGGACCGACGATGATGCGGCGCACGGCCAATCTGGCGGTCCTCTTTTCAGTTTTGGCAAAAGCAATGGGCTCCCATACGTCTATGGCGTGTGCAGCTCCGGCGGTCCCGACAACACGGCGTTTGCGGGCGGGCCCGAGTTTGTCGCTGCTATTGCTAAGGCTAGGCAAGAATATGATTGAGGATGGCGTAATAATTTTTTTTTTTTTTCACTCTCGGTTGAGTTTGGTGAGCCGAAAGGAAAGGGATTATCGAAGTTGGGAGGGTGTTGATGATGGGATTTGCTTTACTTGGTGGGACAACAAACAGGCAGGTTCAAACTGGCGTTTTGTTTTCTTCTCGATGGGTTCATCTTTATCATGCCGTTACCATTAAACATACCTGGCAATAGATTATCCTATCCAACCAACATCACTGCTATGCATTATGATATGTCTGTGATGCGCCCGGGACTGGCCAACAACAACTGCCGAAGACATATCCGCCAAGCCCGCGGTTCTGCGGTTCTGGACTGGGACTGGATCGCATTTGCGTCAAATTAATCCCTGTCAGATTTTCCCCCATCTTTTTTCCCTGCGCAAGTTCCCGTCGCGGTCTGCATCCCCGCGAGCGAGCGTTCCCACGGGGTAAATTCATAGCGGCGTTTGCTGTGGATCCCGGGGACAGAGGGGTGATCTTCCTAGGTAACTGGCAATCCGTGCCGTTTCTTGGCGGTTAATTCGCTCTCGGGTCAGGACAACCGACACAACACAGATGGTTGAGTGGTGATAGAGATGATAAGCTGCCGAACCCCGAAACCGATCCTACCTAAGCCATCATCTACGAAATCTCCGAGCTTTGCTTTACCATATTCTTATTTTGACACCGTGCCCTCAAGTCTTTTTTGCGCTCAGTTTCCTTTGGGTTTCGCAATTCAATATTTGGCACTGGGCATCATTGACCCTATAAAATTGGACCAACAGGATTCAACTTCGTCCTTTTCTCCCAGTTCACATTTCAACCATGGCGGCAATTTCGGGATCCCCGCCCGGTGATGACCTGCCTCTGCTCAACACGTTCGACTTCTGCTTCAGCCAACCGTTCCTTTTGCAGAATGACTTCACGCCGGCTGCGCATCGTGTGCCGAGGATAGACGGTGGGAGGCAGATCTTTGTGGATAACAATAATTCAGGTGAGCTAGCTGCATTTCTGTGCTGCTTGTAGGGGCCTGTTTCGGAGATAGATTTGTTCGCCGTTTGGCTTGACGCTGTAGCACCAGACCTCATCAAGTATCGCAAGATCGACTGACGGATTCACTGCATGTAACAGGCCGCGCATCACTCAACTTTGACCAAATATCAATCGACTCGCGCGCCCTGGCTGCCGGTCTCCTGAGTGGCCTCGGGCTCAACCCAGAAAACACGCACAAACTGCCTCCGACTCCATCATGCTCGGCCGGCCCAGAGATCGCTCCGATCGTGCTGATCCAGCTGCCCAACGGCCTCGTTTTTGCTCCAGTGCTGCTCGGCGTCCTGGCGGCGGGTCTCACCGCGACGCTGGTGTCGCCCGCGCTGACGAGCACCGAGATTAGCTGGATCCTGCAGAATGCGCGCCCGCAGGTTATTGTGACAGCGAAAGCCTGTCTCGGCGCAATGAAGGAGGCCATTTCCAAACAAGATGACCAGACTTTTTTCTCCAGGATTCCAATCTTTACCGTTGACGAAACCAACGACCGCTATCCCCTGATGAGTGGTGCATCTGCCTCAAAGTCCGGCGTGCAAGACTGGAAAGCTCTTCTCTCAGCGACACCCATCCCGAAAGGCAAATCGTTCTTTGACCCCAAAACCGCCGCGGCTCGCACGGCCGTCATCCTCTGGTCGTCGGGCACATCGGGTCGCTCCAAGGGGGTTCTGCTGTCCCACCACGCGCTCAACTTTTCCGCGGCGTCGCTGTGGCACGACGCCGATTTCTACCTCGGCCAGCCCCAGCGCTGGTTGGGTTATGTGCCCTTCTACCATGTCTTTGGGCTGTGCAACGTTTTGCTGTTAGCCATCTGCACCGGCTCGACGGTCTACACGATGCCAGCCTTCAGTCTGGACAAGGTGCTCGCCGCGATCCCGGCACGCAAGATCACGTACCTGCACATGGCACCCCCCGTAGCCGTCATGCTGGCCAAGGCGCCGGCCGTCGAGCCGTATGCCCGCCGCAAGGACTTTAGGAGTGTGGTCGGCAGCGTGACGGGCGGCGCGCCCTTGGGCCATGAGGTCGTCGTGCAGGTGTACCAGCGCTGCGGGTTCCGCATCAGGCTGGGGTACGGGCTTTCTGAGACGTGCAGCACCGCGCTCCAGCGGGGGATCACGGAAGATGAGATGCACGCCCACGCTGGAGATACGGGGCGCCCGCATTACGGGGTCGAGATTCTGATCGCTGCTTCCGACAGCGGTGCAGCGGGAGGAGGCAAGACCAAGGCGGCGAAAATCGACGAGGAGGGCGAGATCCTGGTCCGCGCGCCGACGCTCATGTCGGCGTATCTGCCCATTGGGCTGTTTTCGGGTGCCAGGCCGGACATGTCGGTCACCAACGAGGCCATGACCCCGGACGGGTATTTTCGGACTGGTGACGTCGGCGCGCTGAATAACGCCGGCCGGCTGCGGATCACGGACAGACTCAAGGAGCTGATCAAGGTGCGCGCGTACCAGGTCGCGCCGGCCGAGCTGGAGGCGGTGCTGTGCAGCAGCGAGGCGGTGGCGGACGCCGGGGTCGTGGGCGTGTACGACGGGGACGAAGCCACCGAGTGGCCGAGGGCGTTTGTGGTTCCTGCTGCTGGGAAGGGGTTGCAGCAGGGTAAGACGGGCAGGTCGAAGGAAGAGCTGGTTGCGTTGGCGGGGGAGCTGAAGTCGTACGTGGAGGAGCGGACTGCCAAGTATAAGTGGCTGAAGGGCGGGATTGTCTTTGTGGACCAGATTCCTAAGAGCCCGAGTGGGAAGATTCTGAGGAGGGTGTTGAGGGATACAGGGGGCGGAAAAGGGGGTGTGGAGGTGCAGTTG